TACAAAAATTCTCTGGCCATGGTGGCATGCTCCTGAAGTTTGAGCTACTTGGGAGGCTGAGGTGGTAAGGATAGCTCGAGCCTGGGAGGCTGAGGCTGCAATAAGCCATAATCAAACCATTGTACTCCAGCCTGGGTAACAAAGCTAAACCCTGTTTTTAAAAAAAAAAAAAAAATCGCAGAAGAAAAAAGCTAAAAAGTTAAATATATGGTTCTTTTCTGTCTTTTAAAAAAAAACTGCTGTGCTTGATATACATCAAGCAATTTATTTTTATTGTATATTTTATTCTTTGTTTGGATTTATAGTTTTATAGCCTTAAACATCTAGCTGATATAACACTGTTTGACCGGTAAACCCAGGTAGAGTAAAACTGTATGTCTGCATTCTATCTAATGCTGACAACTCCGAAGATATTTCTGTTTTTATTTTATCAACAATCTTTTTTTTTTTTTAACAGAGCCTGGCGCTGTCTCCCAGGCTGGAGTGCAATGGAATGGAGCCATCTCGGCTTACTGCAACCTCCGCCTCCTGAGTGCAAGCGATTCTCCTGCCTCAGCCTCCTGAGTAGCTGGGATTACAGGCGTGTACCACCACGCCCACCTAATTTTTGTATTTTTAGTAGAGATGGAGTTTCACCATGTTGGTCAGGCTGGTCTTGAACTCTTGACCTTGTGATCAACCTGCCTCAGCCTCCCAAAGTGCTAAGATTACAGGCGTGAGCCACTGTGCCTGGATTTTTTTTTTTTTTAATATATATAAACAAGGTCTCACTCTGCTGTCCAGACTGGATTGCAGTGGTGTGAACACAGCTCACTGCAGCCTTGAACTTCTGAGCTCAAGTGATTCTCCCACCTCAGCCTCCCAAGTAGCTGGGATTACAGGCGCCCGCCACCATGCTGGTTTAATTTTTTGTATTTTTAATAGAAACAGAGTTTCACCATGTTGGCCAGGCTCGTCTTGAACTCCTGACCTCAAGTGATCCACCCACCTCGGCCTCCCAAAGTACTGGGATTACAGGTGTGAGCCCCTAAGCCCAGCCTAATTGTTTAACTTTCTGTAAAGACCAAGTCTCAGTATATTGTCCAAGCTGGTTTCAAACTCCTGGGCTCAAGCAATGCTCCTGCCTCAGCCTCCCAAAACACCGGGATTAGGGGTATGAGCCACTGCACCCAGCCTGCCAACAATCTTAAAACTAATTTTATTTACCCAAGAGACTTAGTAAGGCCCTTGTGTTCAGATTCCTCTCTGTGTCCCCATCTTTGGAGGAAGGATACTTTTCACATGGCCCCCTTCAGGGGAGAAGGATCAGGGAGGTCAGAGAGATTGTCCTGCACATGCTGTTTCTCAGATCCCTCCAGCTTGAAATATTCAACATGCCAGTGTGCCATGTTTTCAGGTGGCATGTCGTGAACCCTGTCATTGGATAGTATAAATGGCTATTCACTCTAATAATCTGTTGAGCTGTATCTTTACATTCTGTCTACTCCTGTTCATGTGTATTACCTTTCACAATCAAAAGGTAAAAATACTTTTTTAAAAAAGAAAAAAGCATAAAAGCTTCTAAACACAAAAGTTGGTGTCAGAAATCTTCTAAATGGAAAGAGGAAAAGAGTGGCTTCTAAGATGACTGGATTATCAGAAGTAAAGAAATGCCCCGCTTCTTGCCCAATAAACCGCAGAAGCTCCCAGAGTGGCCTTGAGCAGAGAAGAGATGAGAGAGAGCATCAGCTGGGCTCTCCAGGGAAATCCACTTGTTTTCCCCAGGCCAGCCCCAAAGGGGCGCTAGTCTACACTGAACTCTCAACTTCCAGGCAATAGAGACAGCCCTTTCTCTGCTGCTTTATTTGACAGGTTAGGAAAGACTGAAATGTTCAAATAAAAATGAACAACAACAGAAAGCCTCAACAAAGGAAAGCCAGATGCAGAGGACCATGGATCCACATACCCTAAATGCAAGGGAGAGTCTGCTCTCTGGGCTCCAGAGCCTTCCACGCATGGGCTACCCCAGGAATAACAGGGACTCCTCGCTGGGTCTCCCCACTCCTGACTCCAGGCTTGCCTCCCACAGCAGGTGACACTACTAAGCTTGTATGCATGTGCCAGCACACATTTATATATACAAATGCAATATGTACATGGTAATGCACACACATATTCTCAAACATACACACATACACCTCACACACAAACATAAACATAACATATATATACCTACACATACATAAACAGATACATGCCGACTTACACATAGACATTTATATGGAAACACATACACATAAGCATACATGCACACACACAACACAGGTGCACATGCACATACAATGTACATACATATACAGCCACAGGCATAGACACACATATACACCTGGATACATATACAAACCCATCACACACACACATACATATGCTCATTCACACACTACAAATACATACAAAAAGGCATACACAAACACATATGTACACATGCACAACACATACAAACACAGAGACATGCATGTAGGCATAATACATGCATGCATACTCGTGTGCACAAAAAACACGCATGTGCAATACAGACACATATACATAAATGCAAGCATACACATATGCAAACAATATATAGATACACGTCACACAAACATACTGCTATGTATTTATCCATATATACATATGCAAAAACATACAAACACATATACACACAAACACAGCTTTACGTACACACCCACAAACACACACCCCACATACCCACAGGCACACACTGCTCGTGACAGCCATGCTACAAGATGATGTCCAGTGATCCTTACCTCCTGGAATTCGTGCTTTTGTGTAGTCCCTCCCACAGTGTATCAGGGTTGGTCTCTGGCCAGTATAATATGGCAGAAATGAAGTTTTTAAAACTTCCAAAGCTAGGTTTTAAAAGCACTGTGGCTCTTGCCCAGTTCACTCTTTCTCTCTCAGGTCAGTCACTCCAGAGGAAGGCAGCTGCTGTGTCATGAGGCACTCAAGCAGTTACATGGACAGGCTGATGTGGTAGGGAACTGAGACCTCCTGCCAACAGCCAGCATCGTCTTGCCAGGAGGGTGAGTGAGTCATCTTAAAAGTAGATCCTCTAGCCCCATGCAAGCCTTCAGAAGCTACAGCCAACCCCGGGTAACATCTTCACTGCAACTTCAAGAGAGACCCTGAACCAAAAGTATCCAGCTAAGCCTCTCTCACATTCCCAATCCACAGAAACTGTGAGAGAGATGTTTGTAGTTTAAGCCACTAAGCTTTGAGGTAATTTGTCATGTAGCAATAAGCCATAGATATTCTTTGCTAAAACTGGAGTTTTAAAAAAAAGTAATAGATAATGAATACAAGTACACTACACATACACGTATACACATTGACACACACATCCCATCTACATACACAAATACATCTCCCCCACATACAAACCTACATATGCACACACACACGTGCATACAGTACACATTGACTCATACAAACACATGCACGCACATATTCTAAATGGAAAGAGGAAAAGAGTGGCTTCTTCTACATGCACACACATACAAACACATGTACACATGAGCAAGTCCTGAGAACCCACTTTTAGAGTCTTCAGGCTCATCACCATCTAGATGCCCACCTGAGGCTCCCCACAGAGCTCTGACCCATCCCTGAGGAGCTGCCTCCTCTCTCTTTTTTTTTTTTTTTTTTTTGAGATAGAGTTTTGCTCTGTTGCCCAGATTGGAATGCAGCAGTGCAATCTCAGTTCACTGCAACCTCTGCCTCCCGGGTTCGAGCAATTCTTCTGCCTCAGCCTCCAGAGTAGCTGGGACTACAGGCACACGCCACCATGCCCGGCTAATTTTTGTACTTTTAGTAGAGACAGAGTTTCACCATGTTGGCCAGGCTGGTCTCAAACTCCTGACCTCGTGATCCACCCGCCTTGGCCTCCCAAAGTGCTGGGATTACAGGTGTGAGCCACCATGCCCGCCCTGAGGAGTTGCCCCTTCTCTAGGAGATTCCCATCAGAGGTGATCCTGTCCTTGAGGGAAGACCTTGTTTCCCGACAGAGGGTGGTGGCCTGGCTCTTGCAGACCTCAACGAGATGATAGCACCATCCCCACTGGCTATCCAAGAAGAGGCACAGGCACAGCGGCCTGTGCCTCACTGTCTCCCAGCCAAGATGACCTGCAGACAGGCAACTCCTCAACGGCCTCCAGTACCGAGCCCAGTTGTGATGAGGTTGACTCAGGCCTCACCCTCTCCCTATCAAGATGGGCAGCCTTTGTTCCCTGGGGTCAGCTGGGCTGTCTCACGCCTTCCCCCTGGTGAGCTGTAAGGCAGGTCTCCTGGATTCTGCTCCTGATTCTTTACCAGACCAGGCCTCTCTGCCCTTCTGGGTTTCAAAGTCTTTCACCTTGAAACCTTGGGGCATGGGCCAAGATCTACAAATCCCAGGGAGGCTGAAGCTGAAAGGAACTAGAATTCGACTCACAATGCATTTGTGCAACACGAGGCTGCTTCATATCCATCAACTCATTTCATTTTCACAGTCATCCTCATGAGCTGCCCATCTGATAAGAGCACTGAGGCAGAGGTGTTTCATCTATGCCTCAGGACCCAAAGTCTGTTTCATTTTTGAGCATCCAGGCTGAACTAGGTCCTGAGCCAGACACGGAGGGTGTGACAGCAAATGAAACAGACATGTCTTCTGTCCTCTTGAAATTTACATTCCAGTGGGGAGATGCAAATAAACAAGCAAACAAAGGAAGAAGTCCATTGGGCGCAGTGGCTCATGCCTATAATCCTAGAACTTTGGGAGGCCAAGGCAGGTGGATCACCTGAGGTCAAGAGTTCAAGACCAGCCTGGCCAACATGGTGAAACCTCTTCTCTACTAAAAATACAAAAATTAGCCAGATATAGTGGCAGGCGCCTATAATCCCAGCTACTTGGGAGGCTGAGGCAGGAGAATTGCTTGAACCCAAGAGGCAGAGGTTGCAGTGAGCCGAGATCGCCATTGTGTTCCAACCTGGGCAACAGAGCAAAAACTCCATCTCAAAACAAACAAAATAACAACAACAACAACAACAACAAAAACACGAAGAAGTCATGAACAGTGGTAAGTGTCATCAAGGTAATGAAGTGACGATCCTTCCTAGGGACCAGAAACTACTTGAGGAGGGGGGATTTATACTAAAACAAAGAGATTAACAATGGAGGGTGGGGAGAAGCAGAAATGGCCTTTGAGAAGGACTCAGGTGTTCAAAGAATGGAAAGGAGGCTGGGAACAGAGAGAGCAAGACGAGAGAAGGAAATGAGGCTGGAGAGGAAGGCAAGGCTAGATCATGCTGGGGCTCATAGGCCGTGGTCGGGAATTTAGTGTTTATTCAAAAGTGTAAAGGAGGTGATCCATTGGACAGTGTTAAGCAAGGGAGTAACATGCCTTAATTTATATTTTAGAAAGCTTCTCCTGGTGCTTAAGAGATTATAGGGAGGCAAGAGTGGAACAACAAATATTCAACAAGAATGACTGAGCACCTACAGAACACCAGACACAATCCCAGGCTCCTAGAACATACCCCAAGTCATTAGTTACTCCATGCAACTAGATGAGATGCAATTTCAGTAACAGGTGAAAGATGATGGCTGGCTGGGCATGGTGGCACATGCCTGTAATCCCAGCACTTTGTAAGGCTGAGACAGGAGGTTCACTTGGACCCAGGAGTTTGAAACCAGCCTAGGCAACATAGCGAGATACTGTCTCTATTAAACATTTAAAAAAGAAAAAAGAAAAAATGATGGTGGTTTGAACAAGGGCAATGGCATTGGGCCTGGGAAAAGATGTAAACTGTAGGAGAAAATTTTTGCAGGGAGAAACCTGAACAATGCATAGGAGGTGCCCCTGCCAGAGAAGGAGCATCAAAAAGAACAGTAACAGCCAACGTTAATTGAATGCTTATGATGTATGTTTATGATGTGCCGGTCCCATCATATTTCTAAATCCTTCAAAGGTGCTAAACTTATTAATCATTCTAAGAATACTGTAAGCTAGATGCTCCTGTCAAACTCATTTTACAGATGAGAGAACTGGGGCACAGAGGAAGCAAAAAAACTGCCTGCAGGTACTTGGATTTGGCTCCAGCACACTATCTTTTTTGCGGAGAGAGGGGTAGGAAGAGAGAGACAGGGTCTTGCTCTGTCGCCCAGGCTGGAGTACAGGATCACGGCTCACTGAAGCCTTGACCTCCCGGACTCTCATGAGCCTCCCACCTCAGCCTCCCAAGTAGCTGGGACCACAGGTGCATGCCACCATACCCGGCTAATTTTTAAATTTTTTTTAGAGACGGAGTCTCACTATGCTGCCCAGGCTGATCTCAAACTCCTGGGCTCAATCGATCCTCCCACCTCAGCCTCCCGAAGTACTGGAATTACAGGCGTGAGCACCGCACCCGGTCCCAGCACACTATTTTAGCAAGTAAGGGACACTGCTTCTCAAGAAGGATACCCAGTGTCATTTGCCACCATGCCTGGCCTGGAAGCACACTTTGTATCTTTAACCTTATTTGATTCTCACAGCAGCATCATTTAAAAAATTCCTATTTGTCCCTTTCTAGCAGGTGTAGCTAAAAAAAAAAAAAAATTAAAAGTGAAAATAAAATACAGTTCCTATTTGATCACTTATTGCATGCCAAATAATAAGCTAGGAAATGTGTGTCCTTTCATTCTCTCAATCCTATGAAGTTCATCACTTCATGAGTGAGAAATAAGCTCAGCAAGTTTAATTGTTTCTCATGGCCACAGAGCTAGCAAGAGCAAGGATTTAAGCCATGGCAGTGGGCAGAAGGCAAGTGTGCCATGACCCCAATCCCAACCTCACCCATTCTTACATATACATACACTGTATACACATGCGTGTGTATGTACGCGTGTGGGGGGCACTTCTCTCCCTGAGTGAGAGAGGAGGGCCCAGAGCCCCTCACATCAGCCCCCCAACCCCCTTGTTCATCTCTGTGGTGTTGACTAAGTCACCTGGGCAAGGCTCCCATACATTTCCTTTGGACCTCTGAGCCCTTTGGAGCTCAAACAGAAAACTGCCTATCTTGTGCCTCTGGCCGTCTTTACAGATGAGAAGCTCAGGTCCAGCCTGGGCAAGTGTGGAGCCAGCACTAGCCCCCATATCCTGACTCCACGCCTTCCCCTTGCACAGCCCCTACCCTTCCTCTCAGCGACCCCCATAGAGGTTGGGTTGTTTCACACACCTTAGGCTAAGAAGGGCCTCAGGAGGTCACATTTAAACTTAGACCTAAATGACAAGGAGTTAGCCAGGGGGAGATCTGGAGGAAAAGTCCCCAAGGCAAAGAGGCTTTCAAATACATCTGCTGTTAGATGAGATTCAGGGGCTTGTTGGGGGAACAGGCAGAGGCCTGTGACAGCAGATGAGCCTGGAAAACAGTCCCAGGACTACTTGGGGCTTGTAGTCCATGGACAGGGGGTTGGGTGTTATTCAAAGTGTAGTGGGAAGGCATTGGAGGATTTTAAAGGAAGAGAGTATGATAAACATTTTATAAAGACACACTGATGCTGTCGGAAAATGGATTTTGAAATGGACAAGAGTGGAAACAGCTAGACCTGTTTGGTGCAACCAGGTTGTCCACGTGGGATCCTAGGTACCTGGGACTAAGATCGTGACAGTGGATCTGGAAAACTTCTAGATGGGTTCCATTAGGGCAACCGGTACCTCAGAGGTGCTCCATCCCCTCAGCCCTTCAAGGAAACTGGTGGTCCCCGCCCCCCATCACCATGGCAGCTGGGCTCCTTTGCTTGGATTGGCTGCTGGGCCACATCATTAGTCCTGTGACTGACCCCATGATGGGGACTGGTTGCCATGGTTCTGTCAAGTATGCAAACAAGGAGCTGCTATGCCTCAGGCTCAGGGAACCTAAGAAATCCCTAATGTGTCTTATGGAAAATCCCAGGAAGGAGATGGGATTAGAGATGAGGAACAAGGGAAGGGCCTTGAGACTGTTATTGAGATTGGTTCTGCACTTGGTGGGGGAGGGGAGCAGGGGGAGTGGCAACCACTGCCTCGGTGCATTAACTGAAAATCCCTTGTTTCTTCCCATTTTAGGATGTCTTTGAGCCATTCATTCCCTACTCTGAGTCACAACCTCATAGCTGATTAAGGCCACATGGGAAGCTTCCCATTCCTCACACTTTCCCTGATGCTCTCGGGAAGGACAATTTCAGGCTGAACCAAATCTGGATTATTAAAGTCAATTTTCAAAAAAACTCAGCAGACTTGTCTGAAGGCAGGATGGGTGGGCTGGGGGACCAAGCCAGAGCCTTCCAGGTGAGAGCAGGGAGAGGTGGGAGCCAAACGCAGGGAAGCCTGGGGAGTGGGCGCAGAGAGCCAGCCCCTGGTTGTCCGAAGGCCTCATTTCAGATGCCTTTTTCCTTCCATGGGTCATTTCTAAAGCAGGTGAAAGGCAGGGTGGCAAGGCAGCCATCCCACACAGCCTTCAGATGTGTCTTACTGGTCTTCCTTCCCCTGACAGAAGGAAATCTCCCCCTCCAAACTCCTGGTCAAGCCGTTCTGGGACCCTGCTCTGCCTTCAGAGGTCCATGGTACCCTTTCAGCATTAGGGTCCCCTACACAGCAGTCATACAAGCCCTACCCCAAGAATCCACAAACAATTCCACAGCCAAATGCTATGCACATTTCACTTTTGGTACCTATGGTCAATTTTCCCCTGGGAAAGGGGAGTCCAGCCACCGATGTTCAACCCAACCAAGCTCCAGTGTGTCCCATGCCTCGAGTTTTATGTTTCTCAAAGCACCTGCACACTCAGCTCACTTACTTTGCTTTGTTTTGTTCATTGTCAGTGTTCATTGGGTAGTCAGCTCATTCAGTCCTCATAAGTGGGAGCACAGGAGAAAATATCAAGCCCCTCCACTATGGAATGCAGAGAAATTACAAGAGAGTCCTTTGGTATACAGGCTCAATGATGCCACCAATATATGTCCTCTCCCCTGTCGCTTTGCTTGTAAGGACATCGATAAATATAATGCTCAACTAGTCATATTTATTTATACCTATTTTTATTAGCTAGATTGACCCTTGCCACACACTTTACTTTTCCCCATCAAACATTTTACTTTCTTTTATTCAACCCACATTTGTAAAGATTTGTGCTTCACTGTGCCTGGCCTCTGCAATACATACTTCCTGCCTCAAGGCAATTGAAGGCTAGGCAGGAAAGTAAGACATACATACAACGTACTTGTGCAATAGATATTGAACACCTGTGCAGCAGACCAGGCAGGTGCCCTGCCTCATATCCAATGGCCCATCTCTGAGGTTACCTGCAGCAGCAAGTGAACAACGTCGATGTGCTGACAGCTTCCCACCTGGAACCTTGGAAACACTCTGATTCTTGTCCTGTGGGTTTTCTGGAATGCCAGGAGAACTTGCATACCTGTGCACCAGAGAGCCCTGAAGTGCCTGGGACTTAACACCCTCAGGGGCAATCATCAACACATTAAAAGCTGAGTTAGTTGGGCGTGGTGGCTCGTGCCTGTAATCCCAGCACTTCGGGAGGCCAAGGCAGGTGGATCACCTGAGGTCAAGAGTTGAAGACCAGCCAGGCCAACATCTCTAAAAATATAAAAATAATCTGGGCATGGTGCCAGGAGCCTGTAATCCCAGCTACTTGGGAGGCTGAGGCACGAGAATCCCTTGAAACCGGGAGGCAGAGGATGCAGTGAGCCAAGATTGTACCATTGCACTCCAGCCTGGGCAACAAAGCAAGACTCTGTCTCAAAAAAAAAAAAAAGAAAAGAAAAGAAAAGAAAAGAAAAAGGCTGAGTTAGTGGGTAAATATTCCAATGTATCCTCCCCTTGGTGGGATAAATTTGAGACAACTTCCACAGGGATCCTCAGGAGTCCCCAGCAGGGTCGATTTCCAATTGCCCACAGCAACAACCTGCTCACCAACATTCTGTTTATTGGCTTTTCTCTTTCCTTCTCTCACTTTCCCCTTCCTTCACTTGTGCTTTCAGGGATGACCTGCCACCTAGACCACCTGCACCCAATTTTCGTTTCAAGTTTCCTTTTGGGTGAATCCAAACTAAGATGATCTATTATGTTTTGGGCTCAGTCCTAGGCACTAGGGATACAGTGGTGAACAAGACAAAGTCCTTGCTTCCATGAGCTTGGAGCTATTTAATGACCCTATAACCCACAGGAAAGAGTCCAGGTTTCTTATATGGTCCATATGGCCCTCAGTCTCCTGCCAGCCTCTCCTGTCCCATTTAAAGGCATTCTCCTTTTTGCCTGTGTGGGTGCTTCAGCAATTCATCCTCTCCTTGTGTTTCTCAAATTGGGCCTTGCTAGTTTACACTGCTCAGTCCTTATACCCACAGTACTCTCTACCTCTAAGTACCCACCAACACACCTCATTTTTTATCCTAAAAATATGAGCTTAATATCCCCTTCTCTATTGTGCCTTCTCTGACCTTCCAATTATTTCTCCCACCTGAGTTCATCACCCTCTTCTCCATGCAAACTCAATGTTTGACTTTATACCTTGTAAGTAGGTATACCTTGCTTTTCCTTGGGGTCACTGTATATGACTGACTCATCTCTGTGTCATAAGTACGCAGCATAGTACCTAGGTACAGCACAGGTACTCAACACATATTTATTGAGTAGAGTTAAATAAATATAGTGGAGAAAAAGAGCTACAGCTGGAAGACTGTACTGCTCCATCCATGAAATTGGTGTTGAATTCTGTCCTTAAAAATGGACCTCTCCACTCTGAGAGTCTGTGACCCTTGATTGTACATGCAGCTGGGTGATATGGAAAGGCCCCAACAAGGAAGAAACTTTTTGAGCTGGCCCTGGAGCTCTGGGGTGGATTTCAGTAGGAGGTGATAAAGTATGGACAATAGCACAGAAGATGAAGAAGTTGGAAAGCAGGAAGATTAGTGGGTGAACGAGTAACTCTGGAACAGCTGGAGATAAGTCTGGAAAAGTAGGTTTAGGCTTGATGACGGAGCGCCAGGCTTTATAATTTAGGTCTCATTTTTAAGAGGCCATGGGGAACACTGATATTTTGTAGTCAAAGAAACAACATATTTGAAGGATGAATGCAGGAGGAGAGAGGGGGGGAAAATATATGAGAATGAGATAGTCAATTAGAACAGTGATACGATGACGTACATGCGCTCTAAGGGCCTGAAATTGGGCAGAGATGGAGCAAATGGAAAGGAGACACCTTTGAGAGTTGTGCTGAAGAGTGAGTTGAGAGGCCTTGGCAACTATGTGGGTTTCAGTGAAGTGATAAAGAGAGAAGCCACCTAAATTTAGAGAACTATTGCCTGGGAAAATAATCATGCTACTTAAGAAAAAGGGGTGACTGGGGCCGGGCGCGGTGGCTCAAGCCTGTAATCCCAGCACTTTGGGAGGCCGAGACGGGCGGATCACGAGGTCAGGAGATCGAGACCATCCTGGCTAACATGGTGAAACCCCGTCTCTACCAAAAAATACAAAAATCTAGCCGGGCGAGGTGGCGGGTGCCTGTAGTCCCAGCTACTCAGGAGGCTGAGGCAGGAGAATGGCGTAAACCCAGGAGGCGGAGCTTGCAGTGAGCTGAGATCCGGCCACTGCACTCCAGCCCGGGCGACAGAGCAAGACTCCGTCTCAAAAAAAAAAAAAAAAAGAAAAGAAAAGAAAAGAAAAAGGGGTGACTGGAGAAGGAAGGATTTGAGAGAGAAATTTGGTTTACTCCTAAGAATTAAAGCCAGAGGCCGGCACGGTGGCTCACGCCAGTAATCCCAGTGACTCAGGAAGCCAAAGTAGAAGGATTGCCTGAAGCCAGGCATTCAAGACCAGCCTAGACAATATAGTAAGATCCCCATATATACAAAAAAATTTCTAAATAGCCAGGTGTGATAGCCCCTGCCTGTAGTCCCAGCTACTTGGGAGACTGAGGTGGGAGAATCCCTCAAGGTCAGGAGTTCGAGGTTATAGTGAGCTATGATCATGCTACTGTACTCCAGCCTGGGTGACAGAGCAGGACCCTATCTCTAGGGGAAAAAAGAAGAAAGAAGGAAGGAAAGAAAGAAAGAATGAGAAAGAGGAAAGAAAGAAAGGAAAAGAAAGAAAGAAAGGAAGGAAGGAAGGAAGGAAGGAAGGAAGGAAGGAAGGAAGGAAGGAAAGAAAGAAAGAAAGAAAGGAAAGAAAGAAAGAAGAAAGAAAGAAAGAAAGAAAGAAAGAAAGAAAGAAAGAAAGAAAGAGAAAGAAAGAAAGAGAAAGAAAGAAAGAAAGAAAGAAAGAAAGAAAGAAAGAAAGAAAGAAGGAAAGAAAGAAAGAGAGAGAGAGAGAAAGGAAGGGAAGGGAAGGGAAGGGAGAAAGGAGAAAGGAAGGGGAGGGGAGGGAAGGGGGCAGGGGGAGGGAGAGAGGGGCAAGCCAGAGGCCTATTCAGGATCATCACTCTAGAAATTAGTCTTTTGGCCAGGTGCAGTGGCTCACGCCTGTAATCCCAGCACTTTAGGAGGCCAAGGCAGGTAGATCACCGGAAGTCAGGAGTTTGAGACCAGCATGACCAACACGGTGAAACCCCGTCTCTACTAAAAATACAAAAATTAGCCGAGCGTGGTGGCAGGCACCTGTAATCCCAGCTACTTGGAAGGTTGAGGCAGGAGAACCGCTTGAACCTGGGAGGCGGAGGTTGCAGTGAGCCAAGATTGCACCACTGTACTCCAGCCTGGGCGACAGAACAAGACTCTGTCTCAAACAAAAAAAAAAAAGAAGAAAGAAATTCTCTCCTCTCTTTTCTCTATCATTTTCTCCTCATTTCTAGACAGCTCCCATACACATACAAACATCCTGGAATAGCTCCCATATTAAAAATAGAAGAACAACAGAAAACTTGATTTCTGCTCCTGGCAATGGTAGACTTGATCATCTATACCAATCTTGCTGAAGACACCTTGTCTTAGTTTGTGTTTAGCCCCCAACTTCCCCTAAGAATTCAGGAATTGGGCTTAAATGCAGGTAGCTTATTTTTGGCTATGATCCTAAAGAACAGAGGTTGGTCAGGGAAGTGAGAAATTAAAACTGGAAAGTAGGGAAAATCAATTTAAGAGTGTGTAATTGAACTACTTACCACTGTGGACAATTAGGGTTCAAGCTCACCAGGGACTCTTGAGGAGCCAAGGAGAATATGCCTGTGATTTGTTTGCCTAAGACTGAGGGGAAGGCAGTGCTTATTGACCAGCTTCT